GGTGTAAGATAGAAATTTCTTACACTCTTTTCTTACCCTGGACAGTTCTGTCTTAAATGCACAGATGTTAAAGAAATATGCAGTCCTTTTTCCTTTTGTAAATGTGACAGAAATATTAACCCGATAGTAACAGCCAGACTTGAACACATATTGTATCTTTGTAAAAAAAAGTATCCAACCATATATAACGAATAGTTACATCCAGTAATTTATGATGTATTGTATACAAAATGTCCCTACCTTGATATTCTCCTCAGATCGTGATCTGTTAGGTATCATGCAGGTTTGTCTGAAACAATGAAAAACAAGTCTAACTACATATGGATTTTGAGTTAGTTTTTTGGCATGTTCAAACTGATTATTTAGGTCAGCCATTATATCATTTAATGCCATCTTATATAAATACTGAACTGCATATGTCTAGATTAAAGAAGCATAAACCCCTGATTGGGTTCTTTTTGAAGCAGCCATTATCTTGAATTCCTATGATGTCAATAAACTTACTTGACAAGCCCACAGATGACATCTTCATCAAGGTAGGCTGCATTATATTTAACAGTTTGGACCAGTAGCTGTAGAAATGTGGACATGTTTCCTGAAGCCAGCACATCTGGCATCATACGTAGCAGCAGGGGACCTGGACATGTGAGTGGAAACAGCAAGAAAAAAGAAATTATATTAAATAGAAAATTTAATGGTTTTTCCATTGAATACCAAATATATTTCTCTTGTTTGACAGATTATCCACATATCAGTTCTTTCTTGAAAATAAAGTGGTTGTCTGTCATATTCGTAAGATATATATTATTATTATGGTATTCAATGGTAAAACAATTAATATCCTCTATTTATGTACATTTGTACAATAAACTGTCAACAGAACAACAAGGCATTGGTAAAATATACAGATATACAGTGTACCCTATCTAACACAAAATATACATAAGGAATCACCACACTATAGTGTGACTTTGATAAAGGTAAGTTTATATAGGTAGTGTACAGGGTTCAGGTCAGACAGGGTACATCTATAAATACATAATGTTGTTTGCTTTAGCTTAAAAACATTGTGCCTGTCCTCTCATTTCAGAATGACTACTAGACTTTGAAATCTTATTTTCTAAATATGAAATATTACGTCTTCTATTCTAAATCATCTTATGCTATACGTACCTGCCAATTCTTCAAACTCTCCTAAATTCCGGCCATTCTCACTCAGAGCCTTGAATAACTCTAACCTGCAAAATGAATTGCTATTACTTCAGCTTCCTTCATTACTTACAAAATTTTTGCAATTAATCCTCATTAACACCAGCTGTACTCTGTTGGCAATTTCAATGGTTTATTGATTTTGAAAATGTTAAATCCTTCAGAAATATCCCATATTTTCTTGCAAAACCTTTAGCTTTTCTCATTACTGGTTATATTTCCAACATGTAGGCCAACTTTTCTTTAATTTTTGCTTCCATCCTTACATGTATTGGCAGTATCTATTTGTATATCTCTTGATCCCTACAGACTAAAAATGCTACCACTATAATTTGGTTGAAATCTGACTGGTAGCTTGGAAGTAGATGCAAGTTAAAGCAAATCAGATAATTTGACCAATTTTATCCAACACTTAACCTCCGACAGCCAATATGGCCCCTTTTTACCCCTCCTCTCAGCCCCAGGAAGGTCAGCCCCTTATTTGGTATACATTTTGATCTCCAAGGCCCAACAATGCTACCAACAAAACTTGGTTGAGTTCTGCAGAGTAGTTTTTAAGAAGATGATGTTTAAAGCAAAAATTGACAAACAACATTTAACACAACCACATAAGCTCATGGTGGTACATGTGTATGTACTATGTATCAGGCGAGGTAATATTTGTATTTATAATGTCTCTACAACAATTGTGTTGAGTTTTATATATACAGTATGTTACAGAACCATATTTGTTTAATGGATCACAAAAGTTCTGTACTAAGTGCCTGATGAGATAAGCCTTACCTTTGTGAGAGATCCTCATGGTTAGACAGGTCTTCTATCACACTGAAGAAGTGAGCCCTCAGTATACCCAGGTACTGCAACTGTCACACAACATAACACATTCAAGTTGCAGTAATAAATACAACATACATATAGTGGAACAACTGGTATATTTTCTAACATCAACTTCAATTCTTCTTTTATTTCCGTTAATTAACGTCTTTGGAGGAGTAGTGAGTAAGAGCATCCATACTCTACACCCAGGACAATTTGTAAGATCTCAACGAGTTTCCAAATTATATTTTATGATGAGCTAAAAAGAAAATGTCTTTCCTGGTATTTTCTAACCTCTAAGGACATACACAGTATCATTGGTCAAGGATGCAGTCAGTGTAAATTCTGCCTTTGGCAAACAGAGAGGGATTAGTTTTTACTTTACATATTAGTTACATTATATCCTATTGTATCTCTATTTTGTTCTAATGTAAGTATTCCACATTTTACTGTGTTTTGATAAAGGAGCTGATCACTCCGATAACTTGACAACCTCCCATTGTATACACTGTTGGAACTTCATTGCGCCATATGTCAATTTCAAGTAATTCATATACATTTGTACGGATCCTGTGTTATACTTGTATGGGATTTTGTCATCAATATTACTTCTTTGACCCATATATTATGTAAATTATATAAACATGTTTATACTGAAGATATTCCATTGTCACAAGTCTTTTACAGTCCATCTTTACCTGTCCTTCTATGAGTGAGTGTAGGAAATGGAGAGCTATCTGTCGACTCTCCGATGGTGTCCCAGGCTGCACCAGATCCTTGATACTGTTCCATAGAGCTTCAATTGCATTCTGAGGAAATAGATGCAAATGCTTGTCAATGCACAAAATACTTGATTTACAAGAAAAAGAAAACGATGAAATTTAAATTACAATTAAAAGCATTGACTCACACAATCCCTTATGATGATGAGTTATCAGAATGACAATCATCTTTCATTTGTTTGAGACAATTCAAAGTTAAATCACAGAATTTCAATGAATGTCAGTGTAGAATGGTTGGAGAACATTCTTTTACCATCATGTATGGGTAAAAGTTAATCGCCTTCTAGTTATAGTTATGATTATTCAACCTCATAATAACATTACGGAGGGCTAAAAGGTGAAAGTAAATTGCAGCAAAAATTTCCTGCTATACAGAAATGAGAAATCTTAATATACACTGGACCACATAACAGGAAATCTTCATAAACAGTGGAATCTCAATAGATAAAAATCTTAATATACCCTGGAACCTCATGAATTATGAAGATTGATAATGAAAAACACTTTTTTTTCTGTAAACCATTTTGTCCTGACAAACAGGGTTCCATCTTAAGGTCTGTCCATAACTGTTATATTACCTCCTCTAACTTTTTAGTTTGAACAGTGTTACACAATTCTCTGATGGTCCGAAGTCTGTTGTTGGCTGGACTTTCAGGACCAATGTCCTAAAAAGAAAAATAAGTTAGTTCCATTATAGAAGAGTATCCATATGAATGTGCAGTGATTTTAGTCTCAACATGCCTAATAAAAAGAGAACAATGTTGTGCATTATGTGTATGCTTCTTTATTTCTTCTTCTTCTTTATGGTGCAGGGGCTCCATCAATAGTGATGATTAT